TGGTATTTGTATCTTCTCTTATGATAAAGTAAGAATTATTTTCCTAAATCTTCAAGATTCTTAAAAGAAAATACAATTGTTACTAAAGAACGGTCAGTAACGGAGTCAGTCTGTGAGCAGTGCAATTTGGTTGAAACGTCTGCTGCATCAGGCAATTCAAAGGCAGTTGCTTAAATTGCAAATGACTTCCCGTTTGCTACTAATATTTATAGTACGAGTATCATAGCATTCAAAAGCTTAAAAGTATTTTAGAAGTTTATATTAGTTGGCTTAACACTTATTCACATTGTGCTAACTAGTTAAATGCATTCGAGAATTTCCCGCTTGCAACAAAGCCAGCTCGTAATACTGAATAGCTTACATTTCAGAATAAGGAGAAATTTCCCAAGGGAGCTTCTAGAGTTTAATGAGCCAAACTTTTGCTTTGTGTTACACTAGAAAAATATAAAGTCCCTTCTACTAAATGAAAAATTCATTTGACTTTTGTGAAACGAGGGTCAAGTGTGACACAGGATAGGACACACGTACATTTTTGATCAGAAAATGCTACAAGTTAGTCAAAAGTTCTAACAGAGTTAAATATAAGTCGCAAGTGTGTATGGATTTTCAGTTTTTTCAATCTGTTTTCAAATATTCTGTGCTCAAATTTAAATATCCGTTACACAGTTATAACCAAAATTGTAATTTCTATTAAATTATTACAATGAACAGATGCGAGTATCTGTCATCGCGTGACCATCTTATTTCCTGTAAATAACCGCTCAAGGAGAGTATCAAACGTTCTTTGATTGTCTCACTTCCCTTTATTCATCAATATTGACATCTGGTTGACGTAAACACCATTATGACGATGCTCACATTTATATTCAATTACAGATAATAAGCTGTTTGGGATGAAAGTATATCTTTATTAATGATACCCACAGATTTGTAAAATATTGAAAATTACATTACTGTGATGTTACGTTCGTCATTTATGAGAATTATGACCGTTGGGGTTAGCATTAACAATAGCCACTAGGTTTTTCTACGATAAAAACATATTAAGGTATATCTGTGAGATTTTAAGATGAGGTTTTGAGACTGAAGATAATTTCAATATTAAACTAAAAACAATTAAATCATATAGGAATCTAGATATCTGTAGATTAAGGTTGATTTTTGAACAACCAAACCGACCCAACTGATGTTAAAATATATGTATATTATTGTCCAAAGGTTAAAGGTCACCACAAAAAAAACTGTATATACGAACGATACTACATACCTACTTACTTTTACACGTGCCTTCGTTCGTGTGTATGTTAATTTTTTCAATCGATTTTTCCGTGAAAAGTGCTGTACCAAATTACATCCAGATCTGTTTTTCTGTTCTGGCTTGATTTTGTAACAAATATTCATATATATGTATATACCTTCGACTGCACGAATATTGTGGGTTGATCTCAACAAGGGACAACAATTTTTGATCCACAAATTTTTGTTCTAAGTCTGGGTGTTAATTCCCCTGTGACATAGATGCATTGCTAGTTTGGGAGTTGTTTAAAAAAAAATCTTAATTAGTTACGCGCTTGTAACATTAATGCGATAAGGGATTACCACCTCTAGACACGTTTTTTCATATCCTGCTTAAAGGATTGTATTGTATCAAGTGTGGGTCATAACAAAATCTTAAAGGTGCAGCAAAGATATCCCCCCCCCCCCCCTCACGGTGTAGCTTTTATATGATTTAATAGTGGTATTTAAGAGTGCCGCCGTATCAGCTTGCCGCGTATAGTTCGCGTTAAAAGAAAAGAGTGGGATCAATTAGAAGAGCTCACTAGAGCATTTGCCACAGCACAGGCTGTAGTTTATTATTCAAAGCCTTCAAAGCCAAATTAAAACTACCTTTCAGCGCTATTCGAACGTGTTACTAGTATATAATGTCTAAACATGAAGTTCTTTAGCAGTATTTTAAACTCTCTTTACTCCGTAGTGTCTATGAGTATGCCAACAAAATTACTTTTGAAGCAAAATATCTAAGGAAAAGTGTACACAATTTCTCATCCTATCATATTTTAAAATGTCACAGAGTAACTTTACTTTTATAGAGTATGTAACAAGTTCAGACTTCCTTTTGTGGCACACATTAAAGTACTACGTGACTTTATACATGCACTGATACGGGTAACAGAGAAATGCCAAGAGTCGGCCACTCTGGGAAGAGTGTCCGACTAAGAAGAAGAAATTGCTGTTGATGGGCAGAGTTCCGGCTCGAATTGCGACGTCTCTCCATTTCTGTCGGCTTTGTGCATTACGAGCACATTGTACTGCAGTCGATTCGGTAGGTCGGTAGCTTTAATTAGGTCGATTTAGCTGGTTGGAGATCGACCCCGTGGTCTTGTGCCCTCCACACGGCCTTGCACTACAAGTTTCTCGATTGAGTCCTGTTTTCTAGAGGTGTGTCCAAAGAACTTCAGTATTGGTAACTGCACAATCGACGATAACCTATTTCGTATGTGAAGCTCTTTGAGGATGGAGTAATTAGTGCGGAACGTTGTCTAGGGTATATTCAGCAGTTGTCTTCAGTACCACATCTCTAAGGCATCGATTTTTTGCAGATCTTGTTTTCTAAGAGATCAGGTTTCAGCCCAGTAAAGAAAGATTGGAAACACGAGGCACTTCATCAAGCGGACGTTTGTGTTCTTGGTGATTCTCCTATCTTTCCCAACCGTTGTACTGCTGACCTAGTGATAGCGTATCTACGCTTGATCTCGTCTTCGCATCCTCCAACGTTCGAGATAGCGGCACCAAGGTAAATATAGTTTATCACTACTTCGCAATTGGCTATTATCACTAGATCTGCGTCTTCTTGTCCGGATCGATCCACTATCATAACCTCGGTCTTGTCTCTCTTCAAAAACAAGTCCGAGTCAGAGACTAGTTACTTCTAGACTATTTAAAAGTTCTAAATCTAAATCTTCTTTAGATTTAGAAAGTAGAGTGGTGATCATAGAAGATCTTTTTCGCCCTTTTTTATAGGACGAGTAGGGAGTATTTTATAGCAATAAAACCACACCACATACTCAGAACGTAGGTATTTAATTAATATTATCGTGGCTTCTTATATATTCTATAGTAACAAAACAATAGCGCGACTTTAAAATCAACGTCAACGCCATCTATCGAGACATGAGGTAAACTTTGCGTACAAAATTGACTTAATGTTTAGGTTTGATTTCTATGACGTGAACAAGTGGTATCTTAGCGTATCTTAAGTTATTGATAACGAGGCCCCCAACTGAAATACCTTTATTCCATCCATCTAAGACGATGTGCATGATGTACTCAGTGTAAATGTTGAAAAGTAGAGGCGACAGTATACACCCCTGGCGATTCTCTGTTAAAAGAGTCTGAAAGTACGCCGTCCACTCTTGCTGCTGCTATTCCGTCCTCGTAAAGTCGTTTTAGTAGGAATATCAGATGTTGCGGTACTTCCATCATTAATAAGACTTTCCAGAGACGCTCCAATATGACGGTGTCGAACGCCTTACGGAAATAAACAAAGCAGATGAAGAGCGGCATGTTGAATTTTCTGGCCTTCTGGATTATTTGCCGCAGTATAAGTATTTGTTCCCCCGCTCCTCTCCCTTTCACGAATCCGGCTTGTTCGGGTGCAATTTGGCTCGATAAGTATGCTTTGAGCCTTGTATTAATGATGTGAAGAAACACTTAACTTGCATGCGATATGCATGCTAATTCTAGAAATAACTCCTTAGTTTTACTGCATGTTCTTGGGACTTTTTTAAGAGCCTTTTAGCCTTCATTAGCAAATTAGTCCAATACTGTTCTAGTATACGGTCCTCCGCTTTTTACATCCATGCCCTATCAGTTACATTCTGCAGGTAGTCAATCCAACCGCCAAGACTGACACCGTCCTGGGTTAGTCTTGGCGGTGATTGAATGTTTTTTTCAACTTGTCTTTCCTGTTTGTAGCCAGTCTCTAATTGTGGAATAAGATTTCTCGATGTTAATAGTGTGTTCTATAATATTTCGTATTAAAATAAACTAAAATTTATCAAATAAATAAATTATAGTTTAAAAAACTAAAAATACACACTTTTGTAACTAGCGGAACTAAAAAGTAGAAAATAATTTTCTATACAACACTGTTACTTTTAACACTTTTATTAGCTTGGTTTGTGTGTATACACAAACCAAGCTAATAAAAGTGTGTTAAAATTATTTTTATTTGTTTGATCTACTATAAAATGCCATCTCTAGATTCTTTAATCGATAAACATAACATAAACACAAACACACTTTTCGATCAATTAATTCAAATTGGTAGTTACATGCTCTGTGGGTAGTTACAAAATACTGCTCGTGTTATTGTATCAAAAGAGTGGGACAAACCGCACCATTCTCGGTGTAATAGCGCCTTGTCGTCTCATTTCATTAAAATGTGTAGTAAGTAATGAGATAACCGTGGTTTCTCTATACGGTCATTTGAAAAGGTATAACGTCCCCTAGAGGTGAAAATTAGACACACGTATTCACAAACTAAACACGAAAATTTAACTTGAGTTTGAATGTATTAGTTTCCTCATATCACTAGTATTTAAAGGATTAGTATTTGCAAGTTAATCTGCGGCAATGTTCGCGGTATTGCTAGTTATAGTGGTATGTTTGGATTTTAGCTCAATTTTAGTTCAATAGTAAGTTTATATAGTATTATTTATTAAGAAAATAAAATAACAAAAAACAACCTGTGCAGGCACAGCTTGTTTTTTTTTTTTTTTTTATTTTATTTTGTTATTTTTGGTGTCGGAGTGGAAAATCCCTTCATTATATGTATATTATATAGTTTTTTTTAACTGAAAAAAAGACATTTGTGCCGGTAATAGGTAATGTAAAACTTTTTCATGTTCTGTGGCGTTCTTTACTGAAATAATTTCACCGGCATCATATAAATGTTTTATTACTATTTACAAAATGTACAATATAATATTTTATACTTCTTAAACGGCCTTCGTAGTTCTTTCAGGTTCTGTAAATAAAAAATAAATAATGTATTAACTGTGTGTAATATAAATTACTAAACATGTTTAATATATCAGTTAGAATTATCTTTTTTACTTTTTGTCAAATCTATGAATGTTTCTTCTAATTAAATTGTCATTAATATCATACACAGCCTTTACTAGTCCACTGCTGAACATAGTAAAATAGATTGTGGAGGAACGGGTGTCATGTCCCTCCAACACAAAGGTAGGATCCTCCGACCAGGCGAGGTGATCATGCCTGGCGTTCCCCTAGTCCAACGGTTGAATGTATTCGGTTATGTATATGCAGTGTCGCTTCGTTAGATAGCGCTGAAACATGTTTAGTGCATATGTTTTTCTAGACAAAATAGCAGCATACTAACAAATATATTCATTTATTGTTATGAGTACAAACGTTACGTCATAGGGTAAGCAAAAATCAACATTATGCTAATTCATTTAAGTTTTATTTACCGTCATCAGTAATGGGTTCGTTCCATTTCTGCCTCTCACTCGTAGCAAATATAATGAAGAACAGGTTTGAAGCGAAGTATATACCAGACGACAGATAAAATACTTGGTACCACTGATAGGGATCCCTCTGTAAATAACAATCATTAGTGCCTTTATTTGAACATGTTAGCAAAACAATTTATGGAATAGAATATTAAAAAAGATGTGTGTGTGTGTGTGTGTTTATGTAATGGGCAGACCGGCCATCTGATAGAAAGTGACTACCTCCACCCATGGACACATACAAGTCAAAGGACATTAGTGAGTTTCCATCTTTGAAAGACCTTTTCCCAACCCCCCATACACTGATTATTTTATGGATGAGGGGGCAAACGAGCAGACGGGTCATCTGATGGAAAGCGACTACTGTCGCCCATGACCGAATGCGACTCAGGAGTCACAGGCCTTCGAGGAAGGAGTACGCTCCGTTATTGAAGGTTATTATGTGTTTATTGTTGTCACCCGGTAACCCATTCCTTAACCTTATTTGTTATGAGAGGACCTCGATTTATCTAATACTAGCTGGTGCCCTAGTTGAATTTGAAAGGTGCTGTTTCGATGTTTTATAGGGTTTATATCAAAACGGTAAGAATTTTATAATGTTTTCTGAGATAAAAAATAGCCTAAGTTACTCCGTATAGAGACAGCTACCTGATAGTAAAATATTTTCATAATCGGTGAAGCCGTACTTGGAACAAATAAACAGACAGACAGACAAAAAAAATTAAACTGGTTTTTAGGCATAGGTAGGTCTCGTGCAAATAACCGTGTGTGCATGAAAAAACCTATTGTTTAGACATTACAAACAGAAACTTCAATTTAATTTATTTGTACAGATATATTACCGATTATCAGATGACACCTTTGCTCCTAAACTGCCATTAAAAAACCCTAGTAATACTAAATAATATAAATAAATAAAAAAAACACAATCTGAAATTAAGCTACCTTTCAAATTGTAACATAACTTTTTAAATAAGCTTTGTAGTCTGCGAGAAACTTATGAATGTTAACTTTTTTTAATGAATAAAATAAAAATAAAAATGATTGATTGAAACCTTAGATATACGAGTATTCTAATTATATTCCAGTATAAATATAGAACAGTTCTCGTTATAAAGCATTATTGATTACCTCATCTTGTAGGATAAGACCAGCCATGAGTGGCGCCATGATTGAGATAATGTTAGCGAAGAAGTTGGTTATTCCCATCATCGATCCTGCAAAGTTCGGCGCCATGTCGATATGAACAAGCTGAAACACGATAAAAATGACTCACAAATAAATATATTTCCAATAAATATTAAAAGTAAATACAGATTTATGCCAACATTATGTCAAATACTTACTAAATATCCGGTATACTGTCCAGCATTGAGCCCCACCACAACTGTCAATAGTGTCACGGCTAACACAATGTTACCCGCCGGTACGTACGACAAACCAATTAAAGTCACCGCCGGCCCCCATATACCTGAAAACGATGAGTGACAAAATTAATTTAAAAAAGAATAATATTTTCTTTTCCAAATGCTACTACTGATTGATTTCGGGTTCTCATTACTTTGGGTCTAAAATGTATTAGGGCTGGATAAACACCCATATATGACACCTCTTTGAGAATGTTCAGGTGTAACTTATTTTATGACATGATTTCAATGGACCAAATCGTCAAGAAGCTTTACGATCCAAATGAAAACGGTCACGGGAATAAAAACAATATATAATCATAGTAAGATGCAGATATATACATACACACACACACACACAGGCACGCACACACACACACATTTAAATTTTATTATTCACATCTGTACTGTGACAAGTTCTGGATTTTTTGTACTTAAATTTTTAATATTGCATTAATGTGGTTAACATGAATTGTTTTTCCTTATTTTAACACATTTGATTTGTAATAATGTATATTACCTATATATAAAATAAAATAAAAAAGCCGTGTGGTGTCGTGGGACACCCGATAGGAACGAAGTTGTGACGATCGAGTAAAACTGATTTGACACGATTTTAATTACAACGCCATCTATGAAAGCGGCTATTACCTACATATTAAAAACAATTAAAACAATTTATACATTGGTAAAATCTCCTTAAGAAATGATTTCCTATCTATTCGATAGATGGCGCTGAATGTCTGACAAGATGACACGAAAATAAAGAGCAAAAAGCCAACATCACGTGGTATTCCCAGGCGGTCACCCATCCAAGTACTAACCACGCCCGATGTTGCTTAACTTCGGTGATCGGACGAGAACCGGTGTATTCAACATGGTATGGACGTTGGCGAACGTTAAAGCAAATTTAATGTATGGTATCCACAGTTAGACGTCAATTTATATTAAAAGTGTCGTTCCAAATTTTCGTACGATTTTTTTCCGTCTTTTCGTCTTTTTCACAACGCGCGATAAGAAACTTCATTCCAATAATTAAGTTGTGTTTGTAACAAAAACATTGATTCTTACCAATCGTGTTGCTAATTTTTCTACAGACGGTGATGCTAATCCATTGCTTTTTGAGAACATAATCTGACACAAAGCCGAAGGGAAAGCCCAGTATAAACATGACCAAGTACGGGAGAGCTGACATGGCGCCATTCTGTATGTATGAAAAGAGGAAAAAATACATATACCAGTATAATTAATATCTGTTTCAATTTAGCTACAATGATTTTTATACTACGAACAATATTTAGACTGCAGCATGATCGAAACGTAACTCAATTTACAGGTGGGGAATACTTATTGTGACATTTACCAATTATAAAACATAGAACTTGAAAGTATAAACGTTAGTATTTTGTAATTTTGACCTTTTGCAGACGGTATTATAAAAAATCAGATAACCAATATAATATAATCAGCTAAAGTGTCAGCAATAAAATCAGTGATTGATTGATGATGATGATGACGGGATGAATAGGGGTGGTGACACTCCATAGTCTTATGGAGTGTCACCACCCCTATTCATTCCGTGGGTATCGTAAGAGCCGACTATAGGAGCAAAATACACAGGTCAACAGCACTACAATGAGATGAAAAACTTGAAACAAACCCTACACTAACCCGTCTGGTCAGCGTGGTATAGTGGACCAAAACCTCCTTTCTAAGGATTGGCCTATGTTTAGCAGTGGACTATTAAAGGCTGTTGATGATGATGATGTGAAGATGATACAACATAATATATGTACACTATTGTTTTCATACCATTCATGAGTCACCAGATACAGTCACTTACCACCAGGTGACCGAGCTGTTCGTTAGCGCCTTATTTCATAAAAAAAACTCCAAAGAAAAAATTACATACTGCTTTAATATCCACTCCAAGTATTTTCTTCATGTATGAAGGGATTTCGGTCATCAACGTCCAAAAACCCCAGTTTTGTCCACAATGTGCAATAATTACAGCATAGAATGGGAGTGATGTCCAAATGTCTTTCCAAGGAGTTTTAAGTTTCTAAAAAAACAATTTTTATATAAAATTAGCTGTTTAGACTCAGCAGCAATTTCAATAAAATTATACTCACTTTCTGTTCACCAACTTGACCTAGAGAGTGTTGTATATAAATTTTCTCTTCGGCGCTGATCATTTTTGAGGTTTGGGGAGAATCTGCACCGAGCATGACGTAAGCTGCAGTCCATATAGCACCTAGAGCTCCATTGATATAGAAAATAGCGGGCCAGCCCCAGTAGTCAGCTATGAAGCCCGACACCAGCAGTTGAAAAGCAGTTCCAAGTTGTGCTCCTAAAGATATCGAAAAGTTTTATTAAAAAGTAATATTGGGTTTAATACATTTCATTTTGGCTAATGAAAACTGAAATTTATCAAGTAATTTAATTTAAAAAATTAGGTAGTGAACGGAACTCTTGGGGCATTTCCATAATATGCGGCAGTGAAACAGTATCCCTTAGATAATAAGACTCATGTAAAATTATGATGAATTCAAATAAAAACTGAAGATAAATTTCAACTGAATGTATAAAATGAAATAGAGTTTAAAATACGTGGGGCATACAGAAAGTCTCTGAATCCCGCCACTTATAATAAAATCATAAAAAACACAGTTACAGGATTCAAAAATAGAACTCTTTGGGAATATGTTACTTTTTAATTTGCGAGACTATCATTTGTGTTTTCATTGTGACGTCGTGTAATGGGATACGAAAATTGAACTCTTTGGGAATATGTTACTTTTTAATTTGCGAAACAGTCATTTGTTTTTCATTGTCCTTTCGAAAATTGTGTGTCGCAATCAAAATGTATTTAACTAGTGAACGTTTAATCATTTTTTATGATTTTCTTTGTTGCTTAAGTCAACAAGAGAGTTGCCAGAGACTTTAATTGGCATTTGGTGATGATGCACCATGTCGCAGTTCTGTATATTCGATGTTTGGGGACTTTAGACGATGGAGTGGACGATGAAGGATAGTGACTGCAAATTGGTACATCAACACTTGCTTGCCTAGAGTCTTAGAAAAAGTTCGCGAAAAGAGTCCTCGAAGCAATGTCCTCCTTCACCACGACACACACATCCTGCTAAGGTAACAGAAGCCTATTAGAAGGCTTCAAATGTGGAACCGATGACGCATCCACCTTACAGCCCGGACCGAGGCCCGGGCTCCCTACGACTTCTTTTTGTTTCCAAAAATTAAGACAAACTTAACTAAACTTAACTGAATCGTCCTAAGGAAGACTGGTCCAACTTCTTTGTACAGTGGTTTCAGCGAATGCAAAAATGCATTAATTACGAGAGAATATACTTTGAAAAACAATAAATGTTTCGTAAGTCTTATATCAAGTTTTATTTATCAGAATCCAGAAACTTTCAGTATGTCCTATGTACAATAGGATTTTTATACATGTTTAAAAAATACATTTTGTTATTTATTTTAATATTACACACGTCCAACTCGTTCTTTATTTGTGTTCTATTTCTACATCGCCATCAAAGTGTAAATGAATAACACGCGAGCCGTAACCCTAAAACTGGGTCACGTAATATGTTTTGACATCAACTGCTAGTAAATAAACATTCCCCTTCGAATCATAGTACACCTTGCATTAATTTGTGACCGTTACCGTTACAATGTCTTCGAAATGGTGCTTAGCACAGTGTACTGTGATAATATCGAAAA